GTGCAAGATTGGGGAGATTCGGGGGGAATTTTTCCAGAGCAAAAGAAGTGTTCTACAGCTTAATACAGGTATGGGTTACACGGTATATGCATCTGTCCACTCATCAGTTTGTGCACCGGAGACCTGAGCACTTCACTGTATTTAAATCAGACCTCAATATAAAAAATAGTTTATAGAAATTTACTGGCATTCCTCAGACCCTCCTGTGTGTCTCTTTTTATAGTTTAGAAATAGTTTGGCCTAACTTTATTTTTTTTTTAGACCTAAAAACACTAGTTTCTAACCCAGTTGAAGTTGGAGGGGGTAGGGGGTGGCTAAAAGGAATGGTTCCTGGAAAAATATTATATCTGAGCTGAGACCTGAAAGACAAGTTGGTTAGCTGTGTACAGAAGCCTGAAAGGGCATCTGAGAAGAAGAAGGAAGAGGCATGTGAAAAGGCCCAAAGACAGGACAGTGCTGCTGAAGTGTCGATTAGAGAGGGGGAGGTAGGCTGAAGTGAGTGTGGGGAGGTCCCTCCACACCCTGGGGGACTGGCACCAGCCTGCCTCTTCCTCTGGGGTGTTAGGAGAACTCTGATGCAATAACATTATTTTAATGTGGAAACCCTTTATGAATGTACAGCATAATACATGTAAAATATACCTATGGTGTTGCTTTGATTTTAATACAACAAAGACTGGTGAAATATTTGGACTGGTGAGAATGTAGAGTTTAAAAGTTGTTTGCAAGCATAGTATTTCTTTCAGTTCGATTTTTGGTGACACAGCTATGACATAGTGTTTTCTTGATTTCAGGGTTCAAAAAGGATTCTTCGTTCCAACGAGATCATCCTTCCAGCCAGTGGGCTGGTGGAAACAGAGCTCCAGTTAACCTTCTCCCTCCAGGTGAGAGTCTGCTCAGTCTTAGGTCACTAGTATGCCACACGCAGTCTAGTCCCCAAAGAGCCTCTAATCTGGAAGCTGTTTTATCCAAGAGCAGACATAGCCCCATAAATGAAAGTCACCCAATGAATTAGCCATAGTGGGGATGGATTAGTCACCTAGAGCTTCCACAGCTGGCCAGGAGGGCCAAAGCAGTCACTTAGCCACAGTGAGGGTGCAGGACCTGGGTGGGCTGCCAAAAAATACACTGCATCCCATTCTTCTCCTTCCTCTCCGTGGATAAGGCTGTTAGCCCGCCCATCCTACCACATTCTGCCCCATCACCTCTCGGTGATCCACGGGACGTACCCATTTTGCCTCCATATTGTAATCTCCATCCATCCCCTTCTCCTCATGTCTGCCTCTCATCATAATCCTGTAGCCCAAATTGAATGCATGTGAGCACATGGCAAGGCAGGAGGCAGTTTTCTGAACATGTGCTTTGTGCCAGGCACCGCTCTAGGCATGGGGACTCAGCAGTGAAAAGGTCATGCAAGATAAAGTCCCAGAGAACAAGGTAATTTCCGATAGGACAGCGGATGGACGGTGAAGGAGAGGACTGGGTAACGGGATGTGGAGGGGTTGGGTGGTGCAAGGCCTTTGGGAAGGCCTTAGGAGGAGGGGGAGGAGGTGTGAGCTGAGAGCCGAGTGTTAGCAAAGAGCCAGCACGGGATTATCGGGGGCAGAAGGACCTGAGTGCAAACAGCGTGAAGGCCCTGGGCCGGCACAGGTTGCATAGTCGTGCATTTTGAAGCTCTGTTATTAGGCATATAAATGTGTGGGATTGTTAGGCCTCTTGAAGAATTAACCCCTTTTTCATGAAATGGTCTTTTTTTTCTGTTCCTTATTCCTTTGGACCGCAGCTGCAGAGTGGAACCCGGGCACCGAGCAGAATCAGACCCTCAGCAGCAATTCAATGACACTTCCTTCACCTCCTAACTCCCCCGTGAACAGACGGGAGGCGGGGAAGCACAGAAAGACCGTGTTCCCTGCAGCAGGACCAGAACCCACCAGGACCCAGTTGCTCATTAACCGTGCTTGACTCTGTTTTGTTCTTGGCAGTACCCTCACTTCCTGAAGCGAGATGCCAACAAGCTGCAGATCATGTTGCAGCGGAGAAAACGCTACAAGAACCGGACTATCTTGGGCTATAAGACCCTGGCTGTGGGACTCATCAATATGGCAGAGGTGAGAGGAGCACAGTCTCCAGACTGTTGGCCTTTAAATCAGAGTCCGAGAGACCATGCCCAGCCACGGAAGCCCAGCGAGTGATTTTCCCAGCCTGCTGGCGGGGTGTTTTATTTTATAAGTTAAATCTTATATTGGGAATTGAGGATATACCTCTTTTTTCAAGTAGTTTCTCCCACACAAAAAGTTTTTTCTTTAACTTTTAAAAAAAAATTCAAACTTACAGAAAAGTAAGAATAGTATAAGAAATTCCCATATGCCCTTCACCCAGATTCTTCAGTGTTAACATATTACTGCATTTGCCTTACTTTTCATTCACACACTTTTTCTTTTCTAAGCCATTGAGAGTAAGTTGCGGACATGATACCCCATTGCACATTAATACTGAACTATGTTAATTTCCCAAATTATATGGACACCACACCTGCACTAAGATCAGAACAGTAACACTGATACAAGATTACCATCTAACCCGCAGTCCCCATTCACATGGTGCTCAGTGCTTCAGTAATATCCATTCTGGGCTCAGGATTTAACCTAAGATTACGTGTTACATTTAGTTGTCTGTCTCTTTAGTCTTCTTCAACCTACAACAGTCCCTCAGATTTTCCTTGTCTTTCATGCCCTTGATATTTTTAAGAATATGGGCTGGTTACTTAATGGAATGCTCCTCATTTGGGTTTGTCTGATGCTTTCTAAAGATTAGGTTCAGCTGATGTATTTTTGGCAGAATTACCACAGAAGTAATGCTGTGTTCTCGTTGATTTGTCCCATTACTGGTGGGGTAACTTTTATCTTTTGATTAAAATGGTGTCTGCCAGGATTTCCAATATAAAGCTAGTAAATATTTTGTATTTACCAATGAAAAAAATATTTTCTAGGGAAATGTTTTGCAACTATGTAACAATCTTTTTCCTCATATTTTCACCAACTAGTTTGAGCATCTGTGATTCTTACCTGGATCAGTTACTACTTTGATGCTTGCGGACATGAGTTTCTAATCCCACCATTCCTCCTATGTTGTTAGTTGGCCCTCTGTTATAAAATAGAGCTTTCTCTTCTTCCCTGTTTATTCATGGATTCATTTATTTGAATCAGTTATGGACGCGTGGATAATCTGCTACTATCATTATTTACTTTGATGCTCAAATTATCTCAAACTTGGCCAGTGGGTGGGAGCCCCTTCTTGCTGGCTTCTGTATCCTGTCTCATTCTTCACATACTTCTTTACTTTCTGATGCAAAGTGTTAGGCTCATCTTCTACGTTTTCTGACCCAGTCTTGGAATGAACTGATTCTCTGTAGAGCCCTGGTTCCTATTAGTGGAATGTGGTATTTAGAGACCAAGATCTGGGTACTAGGAGTGCTCATTTTCCCAGCTGGGGTATCACCGCTCCTAGGGAGAACCAGGAAATACATGTGCACGTATCCATATGCACATTTGTATCCATCCACGTCGTGGCTATTTCCACATCTGTATTTACATGTCTGATCATGAGCTCACATTCCAGTCTGTTCCAACCCAGTACCTTAGGGCTAAGTCTAGCCTTTCCGTACTTCTGATTCCCTGCTCCAGCCGTAGGAAGCAGGCTCCCATGATCCTTGGTGTGTGCAGTTCCCCCCATGTCAGGTAGACCCCCTCAGCCCTGACAAAGGGGAAACAGAGGGGACCACACATCAGTTCTAAAACTCATTTCGGTACTTTAGTGCATTCAGTAGGGAAAATTGTCGCCTGATGAACAGAATGTGTGGGATAGTCCTTCCCACCTTCCTGTCCTCTTCAGGTTGGCATCAGCGTGAGGGACGGGGGCATGCAGGTGCGTGGAGCCACTTTCCTAACTGCGTCAAGCCCTTTCATTTTTTTCCTGCACTGTAGGTCCTTTTCTTCACCGTGAGGTGAGCACAGGTGACCACAGTCTGCAGGCCACCCCACCCACCTAGAGAGCTAGTTTCTCTGCGAAGCTAAAATGTCCTAGGGATTGGCAGTCATTTTCAGTCTCAGGCCTTTGTTTTTATCTCTAAGCACATGGCCTGACCAGTGGCTGGCACTTCCCGAGACAGTTTTAAAGTAAGCCCTGGACAGCAACAGGATAGTAGCCATGGATTGGAAGGTAGTGAGGAAGGAGATGTACTAGCAGAATGCCCTTCCTGTTGGCTTGCCTATCCTCTTGGGTTTGTGGAAACAGAGAGCTCTGTGGGCCTCTGTGCAGTAAGACGTCTCCACGGCCGCTCTGTGATCTTAGGTGATGCAGCACCCAAACGAAGGCGCTCTGGTGCTGGGCCTACACAGCAACGTGAAGGACGTCTCTGTGCCTGTGGCAGAAATAAAGATCTACTCCCTGTCCAGCCAGCCCATTGACCATGAAGGAATCAAATCCAAGCTGTCCGGTAAGACGTTTGTAGTGTCTGGAGGTCCTGCAGGTCAAGAAGGAGCCCATCACCTGATGTCCATGTGGGAAAATTGAATGAGATAGTGCCTAAAATGTCCCTAGGAAGGAGAAGTTTCGAGATCCCTGAAAATCTAACGTGGTCTACCATGGCCGTGGCTCTCCTCCACCCTTGCCGTGTTTCCACTGGGGAGAGCCATGGTTTCGGCCAGTCTCGTGGGCCAGACCTTCCCATTGCAAGGTCATCTTACTGAGGTGTCTATTTCCAGATCGTTCTCCTGATATTGACAATTACTCTGAGGAAGAGGAGGAGAGTTTCTCATCAGAACAGGAAGGCAGTGATGACCCGCTGCACGGGCAGGTAACTCCACAGCCCTCACATAAAGTGTCTGAGAAGCAAGGCCAGACCTCCTGTGACTTCCCAGCCTCATTCTGCCCCCTCCCCACCTAGGACCTGTTCTATGAAGATGAGGATCTACGGAAAGTGAAGAAGACCCGGAGGAAACTCACCTCAGCCTCCGCCATCACAAGGGTGAGGCTCTAAGGTCTGGGGAATGTGTGAGCTGAGACTTCCAGTTTGGGGCGGTGGAGATGGGAGTGGTCTGCTCAAGGTTTTAAAGCCTGCACATGACCATCCTCTCGAGGTCTGGTACACCCTGTGTACCTTGTCTTCCACTGCCACCTAATTAAGAACCAGAGCTGTAAAGAACTAGCGTTACTGATATGTTCTTCAGGTTGTCTTAGGATAGAACAAGGTTGAGAACCATTGTTTGAGACCTTGGAGCAGGTAATGCTTCCTCAAGGAACAGAGCACCTCAGACACCCACCTCCCCTCTCCAGGGGATGACTTCACATTATGTACTGTCCACTTCATGAAAAAAAGCCAGTCCTCTCTAGGAGAATCTGGTTTTTAGTAACTTATCAGATTTACCCAAAAACAATAGGCTAGTGCTTGGGACTGTGGGTTTGATAGGTTTAATTGCATTAGATACGGTCCCTGCATTAATGTGTTCATAGTCTTGGAGACAAATGCCTTTGGATTGGATGTGTCCTGCATAAGATTTCCTCAGGAGTCCCTACTTGGGGTGAAATTAGAGTCCTGAGACACTTTACAGCTGGATTTCTAGGTTAACTTCGACTGATTCTGGAGTTCATGTGCTCAAATGGGAGATGCAGGAGTGTTGGGAGTTTTTCAGAAGAGAATTTCATTCTCATTTTCCTCCAGAGTCTTCCTGACTCTCCATAGTGCAGAGCCAGTCGAGGGGCCCCAAGAGGAGAGGTTCCCTCTCCTTCAGGAGTAACATAACTGGGGCCAGACCTTCCAGCTGTGTTATTGTATTGGAGCCTGCCATTCCACCATGAGACCATGCTGTCACCTCCAATCCTGAGGTTCCACTGGGCTTCAGTGTGAGTCCTCAAGACTGTGGCCTTGGTTCCCCCACTGAATAATGATTAGAAAGGGCAAGAACTGTCTCCTCCTCGGGTGTCTGATCCTTGATTGGCTCTCCGAAGTAGCCTGGGTAGGGCATGTCACCAGAGCCATTGCCCTCTGAGAGAGGGGAGAGGCTAGGGGAACGCTCCTTGTTGTAGTTCCTTCTGCTGGGTTTTTCCTTTTCCTGCTCTGTAACCATAGAGGCCCCATTTTCACCCCACAGGGTGCCCCCCAGAGCTTTAGAAACCACCTCTTCCTGTGGTCTCATAGCTTCCCGCCCTCACAAGGCTCCTATTCCCCCGTTCAGTGCTTCTGTTAATACTGTCCCCTCTCCCAAAGGCTTTGTTATTAGCTACAGGCCTTTCCAATCAGATTTCCAGAGACTTAGTAATTATTCTTTAGTTTCTGTCTCCTTCTGTGCATGTTTTATCTCCCCCGACCAAGAATATTTATTCTAGACACGAATCGACCTGCTGTTCTCTGAATACGTCTTATGCTTCTGTCACTGTGACCTTGTGTTTTACCTGCTGTGAATGACCTTTCCACCTTTGGAAGCCCTGCCCTTTCTTGAAGGCAGAGCTCAGTCTTTCTTGCAAGTTGGTCTTTTCCATCCTCAAACAGTGACTCTTGTCATCTAGGGAGGAAGTACTTCTGGCCACAAGGTAGGCATTGTGCCCACAGTTGGAGACATAAAGATAAGGAAGGGCCAGTCCATGGCATCCAGGAGCTCACAGTGTCTAGTGATGCAAACACATCTGAACAGCACAGTGGTACGAGTGCTAGAAGATAGAGCTTTGTGTAAGGGACAGAGGTGGCCTAAGGGGACCATGACTGACTCTGAGCAGGAGTTTCTAGAGAGCTTCGGAGCTTCGGGGCTAAGGTGATGAGAAGTGGGTTTCTAAGGATAAGCAGAACTTTGCCAAGTGGGTCTGGGGGAGTTTTCAGTAAAAGGTAGAAGATACTAGTAGAGAGGCCCCAAGGTGCACAGCTACGTGCAGCTCTTCACAGGATTGTAAGCAGTCAGTTTCCACTTAAACATGGGGTTGAGGGGTTGACTGGTGAGATGAGACTGGAGACAGGCAGAACTAGCCCTCAGGCAGACACTGGTCTGACAGTCTCTGTTCTCTAGGTGGTATGGGCCCACTAAGATTCTAGGTTGGAGAGTAACATGGTTAGATCTGCATTTGGAATGGTCACTGGATTTGAAGGGGCAGACTGGACAATGGCTGGACATGGGTGGGTAGGATGTGCCAGCTGAAGGCCGATGCCGTGATCCCAGGGCGAGGAGAGAGGCCTGGACGAAAGCGGTGGTGTTACAGGTGGAGAGAGTTAAGGAACATAGTGCTGTGGGCAGAAAGGAAAGGGGAGAGCCTCCAGGTTTAGACGTGGGCGATTGGGCAGATGGTGACGACGTCAGTAACCAGGACGGGACTAAGACGCTGAGTTCCATGTTGGAAATGCTGAGTTTGAGGCGATGTGTACATGCAGGTGGAGTCAGCAGTCAGCACCGGGGATCTGAGGGACGGGAAAGTAACGAGCTGCAGGTGTGTGTGTAGATCTTACCAGGGTAAGCGTGGTGCAGGGGCCTGGGGACCCAGGAGACCCCCTCCTTGCTCCTCTGCCCCCAGCACCAGGAACCCGTGCTGGACACTGGGGTTAGTCACGCGTGTGCCTGTCTTCCCTCACAGGTTTTAAGTGCCAGAAGGTAGAAACTGGCTTTTCCCACCTGTGTGTCCTCCCACAGACCCTCACAAAAGTGGGCTCTCGATCCCTCTGTGGACTTGAACTGATCACTGTCCACATGTGGGTGGGTGTGAGAACTGTTGTGCAATTTGTCCCTACAGCAACCTAACATCAAACAGAAGTTTGTGGCCCTCCTGAAGCGGTTTAAAGTTTCAGATGAGGTATGACCCCTTACTCTCAAGGTCAATGGTGAGTAGATTTCCCTGAGTTGCACCTCATTCCTGGGGTGCACCCTTTGTTGTCACTGTGAGTCAAGATTCCGGGACCCCCAAGCGAGAAAGTAGCTAAAGAAGGGCTTTAGGCTACTTTACAAGAGAAAGAAAGGCTTCACATGTAGCCCCCGAGGCCTCTCAGTATTTGGAGAATGGGGTGGCAGACTTACACCTGCCATTGCTTAATACCCAACCTGTGGTATGAGGGATCCAAAACAAATCCAGTTGTCATTGTAGGGTCCCTTTTCCTCCCATTCCAAGGGGGACATGAGCAACACCCCGTGAGGTGCGAGTGTCCTCAGTGCTCAAACTTGAGTAACCAAGAATTGGCCATTAATAGAGGAGCTGTCTCTCCTTGGGCTCTGGCTGGCCTGGTGACGATTGTCACTGGGTGACCGACTTCTGGGTTTTCTTGTGCCGAGAGAAAAGCACTTCCACTTTTCTTCCTGACACAAGGTCCATAGCATGGAGTGTTAAGAGGCACTGAAGGGGGAAGGTGGCCTCCTTGCAGCCCTGCTCTCAGGGTTGGATCACAGCAGGGCCATCAAGACTACCCCGATGAGTGTGAAGCTGTTGCATGTCCCTTAATGGGGACTAGTTAGGGAAGTCAGAGGTACCTGTCTAGGAGAAAGGAGTTGCACGTCTACCATAATTGTTAATAGGGGTTACCCCAAACTCAAAGATTTTTTTCCCCTCTTTAGGTGGGCTTTGGGCTAGAACATGTGTCCCGGGAGCAGATCCGCGAGGTAGAGGAGGACTTGGATGAACTGTATGACAGTCTGGAGATGTACAACCCCAGTGACAGTGGCCCTGAAATGGAGGAGACCGAGAGCATCCTTAGCACTCCAAAGCCGAAGCTCAAGTGAGGCCCAACCTCTCCTTCCTAGATCCCTCCCTCACTTCCCCCATTACCAGGAAATCTTGGTTCTTCATTCTTGTTGAACCTCCAGCTATCTAGATAAAGATCATTCTTTTTGCCTCTAACTGATGAAAGTCCTGATAGGACTCTCCTTCAGTCCAGGTCCCTACTTGTCCAGCCTCTGCTGTGTCCTTCCTCACCAGTTGTCCTTGAAGCCAGGTCATTGATCTTTCTTGACCACCAGCTCTCCTAGCTCCCCAGGAGCAGCTGTTCTGGGCCCTAGTGGCCACTGACCCTGGCTGTGCTTCCTCCCTGCAGGCCCTTCTTTGAGGGGATGTCGCAGTCCAGCTCACAGACGGAGATTGGCAGCCTCAACAGCAAGGGCAGCCTCGGCAAGGACACCACCAGCCCTGTGAGCAAGACCAATGGCTGTGGGTTAGGGGAGAGGGGCCTGGGAAGTGTTGGAGCTTAACATTCTGGGCCCTCTGCTCCTGGCTCATTTTGTGACCTCAGAAGAGCAATCTCGTCTTGTTTCCACCTCGGTCCTCATCTCAGTCCTACTGGGAACAGTTCTCTGAGAGCATTACTGTGGCTGGTTGGGTGTTGTTTTTGGTCTGATCCCACCATGGCTTGGAGCCTTCCCTCCCAGAGCACACAGTGCCTCATGGCCTCTCTCCCTCAGTATCCGTCACGTGGTTGCTGGGAGTATGGCATCCAGCTAGTGGTAAGCAACTTGGTATCCAGGCTGGGGAAAGAACAGGTGCAAAGGGGGCAGGAAGCCCACAGGTCTGTTCAGGAAACACTGAACATATGTAGGTTTATTCATAGAGGGGCAGTGCCCTCAAATAATTTAGAATTTAGTGGGCAGGTTTCCGTTCTGCATGGTGAGCAAGAGGAGAAAGCTGACTGCCATAGCACCCAGAAGGCCGACGTCACCCTGGACCTGCTCTCACCTTGCTTGGGAAGGTCTTCCCAGCAGGAACGCGGGCTGATGCTGTACCTTCCTCAGGCCCTGGGAAGCTCTTCTTCCCCTCATTTATGACTAAAGGCAAGAAGACGTGCATGAGTTTTAAAAGCGCAATGTCTTAAAGAGACTGAATCCTTTAAGTCCTCCTATTCTTGCCGCTTTAAGAGAGCGAATACAAAATTCATCCTGCAAATAGGTATTATTTGTTGGGAAGTAGTATGAAGCATGTGAGGTGCCCCATCCCCTGAAAAGCGCTGTCTGTGGAAGGGCTGCCACCTGTCCCAAATGTCTGCAAACCATCAGGCAGCTGTTGGGGCAGCTGGTGGGCTGCCTTACTGCCTGCTGCCACCAGGTGGGGCTGTCTTCCACCTAATCCCTCTTCTTGGTGAATTCAGAGCAGGCACTGGCCAGCCCTAGAACGGTGACACCAGGTGGCACTAGTGAGGAAATGGTGCAGCAGGCACCAAGAATCTGGTCCCAGAAAAACCTGGGACCTGCCACTTGCAGACCCTGTGCCCTCTGCAACTCTCCAGCCCAGGCTCATGTGATCTGGAGCTGAGGAGGCTTCACTTTACTATTTATGTTTAGGATGTGACTGCTCTTTCTCCCGGGGCTGTGGAGTGGCCCTGCTGAATCACCACTGCCCCTGTGAACAGATCCTTGGCTGCTAGAGCCATCTTAAATATAAATATAAGGGATGACTGTTCTAGAGAGAAACCTGGGACCTGCCGAGTGAAGCGCATTTCAGTGTCCTAAGAATGCGGAATGTGGCCCTGCTGTAACAAAATGCAATTAAATGATTAACTGAGGCAGTAGCCTGAAGCACTAGCATAGCACCTAACAGGGCAACTGCTCAGTCAATGCTAGAGATTGTTGGTATACAGTCAGTGAGAGAACTCTTATGCTAATGAAGGAGTTTCTGGTTTGATACAATTTGTGTATAGGCTTTGCTTTAGTCATTATGTGGCTTACAAAATTTAGAGAGAAAAACCTCTTTAACACTGAGCCTCAGGTGCCTTATTTGTAAGGAAAAGGTGTTGGCATAGGAGCCTAGTTTGCTCAAAAGTCAATTGAGTATCAGTCTTTACACTGTAATGGCCTAAGGGTCCTTCTTTAGGCAAAACATTTATTTGGGGCAGGGTAGGACTGGGTTGAGAGCATACATCTGGAGTCAGACTTCTTGAGTTTGAATCCTGACTTCATTAGTCCACTAACTGTACTTGGGCAGTTACCACACTTCATTCCTCGTCAGTATAGCTGTGTAAAGCACTTGCCTTACAAGGCAGTGTGAACATAAAATGAGAGGATGCAGATAAAACCTCTAGCATGGTGTTTGGTTGATGGACGGATTGAAATACTGCAACTGATAGGCTCTAGATGTCTTTTTAGTGAGTCCTTCAAATTCTGGTTTCCTTGGCCAGATTTCAAACTCTCTTTGCTGATTCTGTGAAATTTCTATTTTGAAGAACCCCATATGTCTTGGTGTGGGTGTGGAACTTTGGAATTCTTTCGTGTGAAAGGCACTTTGGGAAAGAGCTACAGAATGAGGCTGTACTCTTACACAGAAAACTTCTGAATGTATTAAGAAAAAATACTGAGATTGTGATCCGTAGGCAGGCCTGCATGTGCTGCCCCTCTTATCCTCACTCCCTGATTTCCTAGCATTGTGATTCATTTATTTTTCTTAATCTTTCCTTTTGTTCCCCAAACTTTAGAGGATTTAGTTTATCACAAAAACCAGAAGGAATTTCTGCCAATACAAATTATTACAGTTGTTAAGTTTTCCGAAGACTTGAGCACACAGAAGCAACATCATTTGGCTCTGTAAGCTGATAGCAATAGGTCCTGACAGTGCTGCAGGCAGGATGGCCAAGAGATGCAGACCTCCAGCCAAGACTGCTGCTGCTAAAAACTGCTATTTCCATGGCATTGTAAATAATGGTGGTAGAGACTAGTACTTCATGAAAATGATAGCCCAAAATGTTTCCCCATACTCCCCCCAACACACACAGGAGCCTGTGCACCCTCTGCAGCAGCCAGCATCGCTCCACGGGCATCGTGCTTCAGACTCCAGTGCCACATAATTAGACAGGCATGGCTACTGCACTGCTGGTGTCCCAGGCTCCAGAGGTGAGAAAAGCCCTTAGTATTTATAGGAGCAGGAATAGAAACTTGAAGAGTTGGAGTTTTCTCCTAGTGGGGTTGTCAGGAGCATCCAGAAAAGTCAGTAAATAGCCAGCATGTTCCCTCCAACCCTAAACCAAGTTAAAGATCTTGTCAGGTGTGGCAGCTTTGCCATGGAAACAGCTGTAGCTGTCATAGGGCTTGACTGTAGGGCGTGCTACTTTAAAACCTTCTAGCAGAATGGTATTATTGCCCCACCATTTGTCACACTGAGACCCAAAATTGAGTGAAATCCTCTTCAGGCTTAAGTCTGGCCAGGACTTCGCCAGGATTCTGCTCTGTTAACATTGGTTGTTACATAATATGTAAACGACCCAGCTGTGCAGTCTGGATGCAGTGATTGCGTGTGGCTCTGAGCCAGACCATCTCGACATCTGGGGTCACAGGGTCTGCTTAAAGTATGCTCCATTTGTCTTGCAGATGGCTTAGAGCAGTGGTTCTCAACCAGGGATGATTTTTTATCTCCCAAGGGACATTTGGCAATGACTGCAGACATTTTTGGTTGTCACTACAAGAGGCAGGGTAGGGATAAGGCACTGCTACTGGGATCTCGTGGGCAGAGGCCAGGGGTGCTGCTAAACAGCTGTAGCACACAGGACAGCCCCGCCTCAGGGAGGGATCTGCCACCTATGTCAGCAGTGCCGAGATGAGGAAAACCTGGCTCAGAGCGAGACTCGGGCACCTACTTCTTCTTATCCTCACCCGAGGATACCTCACCCGAGGATATGTTTGAATTTATTTATTTACTTATTTATTTACTTATTTATTTCAGAGAGAGAGAAACATCGATCGGGCCCTGACTGGGGATCGAACCCACGACCCTTTTGGTGCCCGGGACCACACTCCAACTGGCTGAGCCACCTGGCCAGGGCACAGGGGCCTACATTTGTGATCTTTATTCATTAGATGACCAAGTGACTCCTTGAGCCTATTAGTCTGATATTTCTTAATACTCTTTAATTAGTCAGAGGAAGAACTTTGAGTACTTAAGAGCAAGTGGGATATCTTTGATGTTTTCTGACTTCCTGGTTCCCAACAGAACCAAAGAGATTCACTGAAGCCAATACCTTTTCTCTGGAGCATTTGAGAGCTTGCTCCCCAGCACTGTCGTCAGTTTGGCTCAAATAAACTCTTGTAACAGGTGTTTTTTTAAAAAAATACCTTTTCTCTAAGTCCTATAACTCTTAACTGCTCATGACTTTGACATTGGTATTCGCACAACCAGAAGCAATATTAGCAAAGATGAAAATTCTGGCTGTATATCTGTATTTGCAAAATAAATCTTTAATATTTATGAGAAATGCTGATAAGAGTTAGGGGCAAAAGGAGAATTAGCTCACACCTAAATGGCTTAACATTGGGTTTCTTTTTGCTTGGTATATTATTTGAGGTTTTTCTAGATGTTTGTACCAAGCAAAAAGCATTTGGCTACTATGGATGTCTTTAGTCTCAATATCAAAGATCTGAACTATAAGATCCTCCTCCCCAGCAATTTCTGACAAGCAGAAGAAGCCCCAAATGAACCTTCTGGATGAGGGGCTTTACTGAGTCCAGGGCAAGACTATGGCTCCCATAACAAAGCCCTCTAAATTCTGAGCTTCTCTTCCCTAGCGACGTCTTGTGAGAGTCAGGCACTCTGGGTTTCCTGTCTCACTGTGTTACTGATTTAATGGTTATAAAAATAACTGCCCCCTCTGAGGTTTAGTTTTCACTAAAATAATCTCCTTATAAGATGAAAATGCCAAAGGTTGCGTTAGGTCTTCAGATTAAGTGAAATATTTTAAGTTTCTTAGGTACCTAGAAAATGAGCTAACGGTAATGTTTAGATTGGTGATGACTATTGTAATTTCTACAGATGGAATTGGCTGCTCTAGAAAAAGTCAAATCTGCTTGGATTAAAAATCAAGATGACAGCTTGACTGAAACAGACACTCTGGTATGTGTGGCTCAATCTCCCATTTCAGCTGTTTAAAATCATTTTTTTATCTTTAGAAATAAAGGCAAAAAGACCCCTAGGACCACTGTGGAAATTTTGTCTGAATTTGGACTTGCGGATATCCTGTGCTCTTTCTCCTGAAAGCCTTACCCATGGCGTGTACCCTACCCCGGGGAACAGGTTATTCCCCAACTAGCAAACCAGAAATGCCCCCATTCTGCCCTTTAATTATAGCTGGTCAAATGCTAATTTGGGTAATTTCTCACTGTCACCCTCATTTACTTCTGAGAGATGATCACCAGTATCTTCCCCTAAAAAAACCCTCTTCCTCCCATGTTGTTCTTACTATGGCCAGCCAGCCACATTAAATCTCTAAGGAATTCTCGTCAACTCCTTGCTCTGAGAGATGCTAGAGCTGCCCAGGAGAGCAGGCCAAACCATAGTGGAATGGAATGAACTGGCTGGGGAGCACAATTTAATTAAACACTGAGTTCCACACACATATGCTGGGTCACTGTGTGTGGTAAGCACTGAAGATGCAAACATGAGAACATGTCTCTGCCTTCGAGATATAACCCTGCAGGAGGAAGGCCAACCCGTGCACACCCCATGTAGAGATCTGGGAGGGACAGAGTGACTCCGCCTGGGGGAGGACACCTGAGCCTGGCCTCACAGGATGAGCTGCAGTTCATGCAGGGGGACTGGAGGCTAGACATGGTGGGAGGGAGCAGAGAACTGGACCAAATACCACCTGGGGCTGTGCTATGCATCAGCCTCACAGTGAGACCTGGTAGCTGAGGGGAGGCCAAGGAAGAATTACTTTAGGCTTATGTTTCCTATAGTAAGTGATGCTGCATTAAAGACCGTGGTGTGTGAAGCATCAGGCTTAATTGAAAATTAATTTAAAACCCTCTCCACGACTTGCACTGTGTGCTCGCCAGTAATCCGAATACCCAGCTTTCTCTCTCCACTGTGCCCACACTGCACAGTGGTCGTTTCAGGGTGAAATTTAACCATGTTATGTCCTGATTAAAACTCTCTCTTTCCCACCTAGAGAAGCTAGACCCTCAGTTCAGGATTGTGTGTTAACAGATAGTTCGTAGATGTAGAGGACAGACTGAGTGGCAAGACTGTCCAGCACGGTCGGCGCACTCAGTCATACAGTGACAGTGTTCGCGCTGAGTGAGGCAGGAGCTTTAGAAAGAGGGATGACTGACTCGCCTCAGGGTGTGATGGGCCCTCGCAGGACCCCGCGAGGCTCCTGGTGGTGCTGAGTGAGCGGTAACCCTCGCTGCTTCCTTTACTCCATGGTAGGAGATCACTGACCAGGACATGTTTGGAGAGGGGAGCACGAGTCTGGTTGTGCCAGAGAAAGTCAAAACTCCCATGAAGTCCAGCAAAACAGATCTCCAAGGCTCTGCCTCACCCAGGTACTCAGGGCGGGAAGAAACTGAAACGGGGGGTAGAATGAAGGAAGCCAAACAGATGGTACGACACTGCAGCCATACTTAGCAGAGGCTTGCGGCCTGGGGAAGAGGGCTGGCAATGGCTTGGGGTCAGAGGGGCTGTCTCACCACCTCCTTTTCACATGTCTGGCAGCAAAGTGGAAGGAGGGCATACTCCTCGGCAGAAGAGGAGCACGCCCCTGAAGGAGCGGCAGCTCTCCAAGCCCCTGAGTGAGAGGACCAACAGCTCCGACAGTGAGCGGTCCCCTGACCTGGGCCACAGCACACAGGTACCCTCTGAGCATCCCTGGACCGTGGTGGTTGTTTCGTTGTCTTCCTGGGCAATTAGCTGAGAGGAAAGGAGGACTGCTTTGAAATGCTCTAAATAAAAGTCTTGAAAACAGACCTACACAGGGAAGTCTGGCATACACTAATGGGGAACTGGCTTCGGGGGCTGTTTCCAGGGAGCAAGGGAGCAAGAAATGCCAGCATTGACCAGCCTGCCACCAGCCCTGGTAGCAGTTCCACCCTTCTGGTTTGTCCTTCCTCCTCTGCCTCCATCAGACATTAGAGTGGAGATTGTGTGGTGACTCGGGTTCCAGAAGACGGCAGCCATCAGAATCTCACATCACCACCAACGTGCACTCTGATACCTTTAGTCCTGCAGTGGGTCCATTATTCTGATTTCAAGCTGGCAAATCAACAGTAGTCAAACATTTTGATTAACAGGCCTCAGAGGGTGGGCTGGGACAGTAGTGTACAAGACACTGGGCCTTGGGCACAGAGTTTCCTTTTGAAGGCTGGTGGTACTGTGGGTTGGGGAAGGACTTTCTCTAAACTCACACCTCATGCAGCTACTGTTCTGGAGTTAACAGCAAGCCTGTTCATTTTCCCGATAAATATTGAAAGTTATGTCAGTGTGGCTTCCTGACTTTGACGCTGTTACCCAGCTGGAAATGAACCGGAGACTAGAATAGCCCAGTGCCTGGGGCGCCGTGTTGTGCTTCTGGTTAATCACTGGTCCTGAGATGCCTCTTGCCCTGTGGCAGCAGGCTCCCTGCCCCGCGCTCGTTGCCACTCTCATTAGTTCTCTCCCCAGTGCCCTGGTTTTTGCTCCTGTGAGCACCTGCTCGCCGTGCTCTCTCCCATCTCCTCCTGATCCTTCCATGCTGCCTGCCCTGCCTGCCTCACTACCTGTCGTGGGACGCCTGCTGTGTCTCCAGCTTTGTCCGCCCTCCCGTCAGGCGGCTGCCATGGCTCTGTCCCCGTGTGCTTGTGTGTCCTCTGAGGACTCTGCTATCCTTGTCTTATTCCTTTCCCTTTTGGTCTGGCTGGTGGGGTATGGGGTCTCCTCCACAACATCCTCATACCTCCAAATACCCCTGCTTCTGGAATTCCCTACTCACTAGCCCACCAGCACCACTCTCAAGCTCCCTGGGGACTGCCTCACACACACTCTTGTCCCTGCAGATTCCAAGAAAGGTGGTATATGACCAGCTGAATCAGATCCTGGTGTCGGATGCAGCCCTCCCAGAAAATGTCATCCTTGTGAACACCACTGATTGGCAAGGCCAGGTAAAGCACTGAGGACTGGGGCTGGGAGGAAAGGACCATGGGACTGGAGGCAGAGACGCCCGGGGTGTGACTTGAGAGCAGGGCGTGGACGAATAAGGAATAGCCCCCGTACCTCAGGCCCCTCCTACCCTGAACTAAGCCCACAGCTCCAGGCTGCAGTCCCATTTCTGTCATTTTCCAGCCTATGGAACCTTAAGTCACTAATTTCTAGCACCTGTTTTTTCACCTGTAAAAAAGCAACAGCATCACCTGTCCTACCTTCTTCCAGGGGGTTGTGTGTGGCAGAGAGCATCACAGAAGGAAGGTACCTTGAGGAATCAAAGTGCTGTCAAAGCCAGTGGTTGCCCATAGTTTCCATGAAAGCAGTTCAGAAGGGACATAGCGACACCCCCAACCCGCCTACTCCCATTCAATGCTGTCACCCAGTTAGACCCAGTGCCTGAATCCCACTTCCTCAGTGGTTTGAAGGACAGAGAACAGGAACTTGCAGCTTGATCTGGGCCCTCCTGGCTCCTGTGGGGCAGCAGCATCTCTGCCCTGTGGCCTTACCAGTGTCCCTGCCCCTTTCTTCCCACCCCTAGTATGTGGCGGAGCTGCTCCAGGACCAGCGGAAGCCCGTTGTGTGCACCTGCTCCACCGTGGAGGTCCAGGCAGTGCTGGCTGCCCTGCTCACCCGTATCCAGCGCTAGTAAGGGCTGAGCTCCTCTCCTGCCTTTTGGGGTTCCTCTGATCTCATCCTCCCACCCTGACTTCCAAGTGGCCTCGTCAGACCAAGAGTCCACGATGCATGGTCAGGCAGTGGCAGGTCATGGTGCGCTGATGTCCCTACTGGCCCCAGAGGATCAGGGCGTGAAAACTGTCATTCTCCTGCCCTCCCTGCCTCCCCACCTGGACGCCTGCCTTCACCTGCCTTGGCATCTCCTTAAACCCAGGTTGAAGCAGCCAGAGAGAACCCATGGATTTATAGGCCCCGTACTCCGCTCTCTAACTGTACCATGCTCCTTGGCGTTCGGTCAGAGCTTCCCCTCCCAGCACCTCCCGTGGGCCGAGTCCCTGTGGGGGAGGGAGACTGCGGGCGTCTGGCATCTGGGTTCATGCCCACTGCTGACCCAGGGGCACCGTCGAGCTGCCTCCATGTTAGCCTCAGCCAACTCCATCTTCCTTCTAGACAGTGACCTGTCCATTCTCTCTGACCTGGACATCTCCCTAATTTCAGAAGCACTGGCTTAGTGCTTCTCTCTGTATATTTTATTTGTTGGTTTATTTGTCCCTGTGGGTTGTTGAGATCAAGTCAAGTCTGAGCTTGGAGCCTTCCTCTGAGCAGGCTGCTGGCAGACCTCCGGAAAGTGGTGGTGACTGTCCCCTTGCTCCCCAGCTGCAACTGCAACTCCTCCATGCCAAGGCCGGTGAAGGTGGCAGCACTGGGCAGCCAGACATACCTGAGCTGCATCCTCCGCTTCTTTGTCAAGTCGCTGGCCAGCAAGACCTCTGACTGGCTTGGCTACATGCGCTTCCTCATCATTCCCCTCGGTAAGGAGGGCATCCTGCTCCTGAGGTGGGGTGGGGGGTTGGGTCCACAGAAGGGGCAGTTGGGGATCTCAGGCCAGGCCCGCATCCTGTCCCCTAACCAGCTCACCTTCTCTGGTCTCCACCTACCAGGTTCTCACCCCGTGGCCAAATACTTGGGCTCAGTCGACAGTAGGTATAGCAGCACCTTCCTTGATTCTGGCTGGAGAGACCTGTTCAGTCGCTCGGAGCCCCCAGTGTCAGGTAACGACTCTTGTAAGAGACTGAGTCAGAATTCTGCCTGGTTCAGGGAGGGCTGGTTGTGCTGAAGGCAGCCAGCGAGCATGCTTCTTCCCCTGTGGCTCTAACTTTCCCAGCCGCTTCTCATGTTCATCTTTTCAGTTTTATTAAGAGGAGGCCATTAGTGCAGCCCTTCCACCCTGGATGATTTCCACTCTTCCATTTGCTCTGCTTCTGTACATCTAGAAATAAGGAGGGCCGTGGGGTGCTGGGGAGGACTTGCCTGGTTGTACGGATCAGATATAAGCAGAGAATGACTCCTGAGCAGTCTGTTGACACATGAGTAACACCACCCAGCCATGTCATCCTGAAATTCAGAGTAAGGTGTCAGGGGTTGGAGCAAGCCGGAGCTCCATGAGGCTGAGGTAGCAGATGCTTTCTCAGACCTTGAAGGAAGTGATGAGGACAGATCAGGGAAGAGAGGGGTTCCTCTGGGTTGAGAGGTTGGTATGAGCAAAGATGAAGGCAGGAGTGTGGTGAGCCTGGGAAAGAGCAAGACCATGAGGGGCGGCACGCAGAGATTAGAAGGGAGAGGACAGTGCTTTGGTCCATGGTGCCATAGAGTCAAAACCACCAGATCTGTGGAACCCTTTCCCTGCCTCCGCTCCCAGGCCTTTCTGTGGATCTCAGAGAGGAGGCTCTCTAAGCCAGTGTCAGGTTTGCTGGCTAAAGTCAGTTGGTGTTATCTCCTGGCTTTTCTGCAGAGCAACTGGACGTGGTGGGGCGGGTGATGCAGTACGTCAACGGGGCAGGCGTGACGCACCAGCTTCCCGTGGCTGAAGCCATGCTGACCTGCAGGCATAAGTTGTAAGTTTCACTTCAGGGGATTTCTTAGAGGTGAGGTGGGTGAGGTCAGTCTTGAATCTTCTTTGCTTTTTCACGTTTTCTTTCCTACCCCGTTTCCCTGTGTAGGAGCCCAGGAAAATGAGAGACAGTGTTTTTACTGCTTCCCATCCAGGCCCACCCTCCTTTGCCCTGGGTCACCGCACCCATCTGGGCACCCTCAGTACAGAGAAGCCCATCCCAGGGACTGAGACTCAGAAGTGGGAGAGAGGGTCCAGTGTGCAGAATTGGTGCTTTTGCCTCCATTTTGTGGCTCCTCGTGCCAACCTGAAACCTGATGGAAACATGTCATGTAGTTGTGTCTGGATCCCTTAAAGCTGCAATAAGATATGAAAAGTGCATGTCCTCAGCTCTCCATGCAGTCTCACCCACTAACTAAAGCTCTCCTCTGTCTCCCAACAGCCCTGATGAAGACTCATATCAGAAGTTTATCCCCTTCATTGGCGTGAGTACTGACTCTCCTCCCCTCTCCTCTCTCCTCTGTGCCACATCCACCCTCCCGGCCTGCCCCCTCCCCCCCTGACACGCACACATGGAAGACTCATCTAGACAGTGGTTCTCATCCGGAGGCGACTCTCCCCCGGGACATCTGGCAATGTCTGGAGTCATTTTGGGTTGTCACAGCTGGGAGTGGGGGTGCTACTGGCATCTATCTAGTGGGTAGAGGCCAGGATGCTGCTAACATCCCACAGGGCGCAGGACAGCCCCCCAGCAAGGAATGATGTGGCCCGAAATGTTAGCAGGGCCAAGGTGGAGAAATGCTGGGCTGGCCATGTACTGAGCTCCTCCTTTCTGTGTCCTGTCCGGAATCATGACCATCCCCAGATCATCGCTGGTATCTTGTTTATTACACCATGCCCTGAACCTGTTGCCTTGGCCTATGGAGTGTTGTCCAGAGCATAGTGTCTACAGGCCCTGGGAAAAGAAAGCCTCCTCAGAAGGAATGATAGGTGATGTTCTGAAGAGAAGTCTGAGAAATCGGTTGTTTCCATCTTTAGGATCAGATAGACCACTGAGAATAAGGGTCTCTTCTTTCCCCTCCTATGTAGTCAAGGGAGCATCTCTATACTAGTGGATTTTGAAAAAAAGGGAACACCTCATGGATGTCTTTGGTGTCAGGTGGTACTGATCTTTGGTTCATTTGGTGGTAGCTGGGCCACAAGACAGAGACTTACCAAGAGAGGGAGCCCCGAGGGGACAGAGCTGACCTGCCAGGGCCAAACCATACCACAGAAGCATGGCTGAAACTCAGATTTCCCTGTGTGAGATGATCAAGTTTCCTTTCCAGGTCAGCTTATATCTTTTTGTATAGTCTCTTTGAGGGCCCTCCTCGCCTCTGGGCGAAGGGGCAGGTAAGGGGCCAGCTCCCACTGTCCCTCTTCTCTGCTTGGCCCAGATTCTGGATGTCTTCAGTGGTCTTGAGAGATGCCTTAGCCTGGGGAAATTCTCTAGCCCCTTCTTGTGCCTTACTGTCTGGCTAGTCCAGTCATTCCCCATTTAGCCACTGGGGCTGCTCCCACAGCCGTGTTGGAGGCCTCAGATCGTGGCCTGTAGCCTGGGTGGCAGTCTGACTCACATCTTCATGGAACTATGGATCACTGCCCACTCTGGCCTCACAGCCAAGAAAGAGATGTAAAAAATCTAAAATTCAAACAAACAAAAGAGGTGGCAGCTTCATGCCATGCCAGGGAAGCAAGACGAGTATCCAGGAAGCTCAGTGTCGATGTGTTACTTTCTGGGATCTAAGGATGCGTAGAGAATTCTAAGAATGGCAGCATTGTATTCTGAGCAGCAGCCTCAAGGGGACCATCTGCACATGATCTCCACTTCACGCCAGTCCCCAGAGCCCACCTTCTGTGGCCTCTCAACTCTGCTGAGCCTCTGCCAGGTGCTGGGCCCTCAGCCTACTGGACTTCTGTCTTTTGATGTCACAGCTGTGAAATTCAGTCTGTCTCTAGCTGTGCCTTTTTATGGCCACTGGAGGGCACCCTCTATCCTTCCCAGAATACACTCTGCGACATCTAAAATTATTTGGGAAGCTGGAATGTATGCTGTTACCTTAGTGGGGTGAAGCTGGGACCCCTCCTCGCTGGTATTCCTCCAGATACCAGGAAGTCTGGAACGGAGGGAGCAGGTATCAGTATGGCTGCACTCTCCCTTGGCTTGGAGCACAGGCTGGCGTGCAGGACTCCCCCCCACACTCCTGTCTCCCCTGCTTTCTCAGGGCGGCTCTTCATCTTTCTCTGGTGAGAGGAGATGACCTCTTATCCACATGACCCTTCTCAGGTGAAGAGTACAGAAGGGGTTCCTGCTTTCGAGGTGCACTTGCCTGTGGCCCCAGAGAGGAGCCATGAGGTCTCCTGAGCCCCCACCTCATTCTTTGGGGCCAACTGTCTTCACATCTCTCAGAGTTCTGGGCCGCTCTGGACTCCCAGAGATTTTTAAAGCCTACAGTCAAATAATGTGTTGTAATGGCTTTTGCTCCCAACCATCTGCTTCCAGTTGAGTCAGCATATGTGCACCTTTGGTGAGAGGACCTAGTTAACTGTCTCTTCTTTCCTCCCAGGTGGTGAAGGTGGGTCTTGTTGAAGACTCTCCTTCTGCTACAGGTGAGCCTGGGGCCCCTTTGCTTCTTTGGAGTGAGGGTGGTGCCTCTTCTCTATCCAGCAGGCTGGAGATAAAGACCTTGGGTGTCCTAGCTCAGGTCAGAGTCTGAGCAGGAGCATCGTGGGTACCCTTCTCCCTGGTGAAGCGGTGGCGGGGGGTAGTGGGCAAGTATCTAAGGCCCAGAGGAGAGCAGGCTGCCACTGAGACAGGGACAGGGACACCTCAACTCCTTACCACCAGCTGGTCAGGGGTGACTTCCTCTGGCAAACTGTGTTTGTCATCTGACAGGCGATGGGGACGACTCACCTGTGGTCAGCCTTACTGTGCCCTCCACATCCCCACCCTCCAGCTCAGGCCTCAGTCGAGATGCCACGGCCACTCCACCTTCCTCCCCATCCATGAGCAGTGCTCTCGCCGTTGTGGGGTAAGGCTCTCACTGTACCCGTCTTTCCTAATGTACCCTCTGTCAGGGTCCAGGACTTCCCTTCTGGCTGCGCATCATTGAACACTGACAGCACACTGGGCTTAGAAGGTAGTGTGGTGAGAACACTGGCGTTAGAATTCAGAGACTTGGGTCACTGGTTGGGCAAGTCATCACACAGCTCCAGCTGCCCTGTCTGTCTCGCAGAGTGTCAGTGTTGAATGAGAGGCTCTTTGTTGCCTGTAAAGCGCTGTGTGCACATCTTGTCTTGGTTCTGCCCAGCGTGTGGGCGTGGGCATCAGATACACCTGGGTCTGGGCTGTGGTTCTGTTATAGTCAGCGACACTTGTTAAAGTGCAGTAAGGGAGGTTTTATTTAAAGTGGGGGCTATCTCAATAGGTACAGGGACCACTGTGATGGATTTTGCAGTGGGGGGGAGAGATGGGGCTCATCTCCAAATACAGCATAAACATGAGGATTTATAGCCCAGGAGCAATGTGGGGTCAGTGAATGGAAGATACTGAGAGGAAGCCTCAGGGGTGGGGAATTCTGGCTACACTAACCTAACAGGATTCTTAATCAAGACAGGTCGAGGTATCAGACACTTCTTGCGCCAGGGGTGGGGGGTGCAGAACCTGACCAGATAGCCAGGGTGATCAGATGTGGACGGTGGGGGATTCTTGCTAGCTGATCTAGCAAGGTTTTTGCTACAACTGGATTTTATAAGGAAGTACACAGAGAAGGGCCTAGAGAAGATTCAGGAGCCTGATTAAGTTGGGTCAACCAGAGAATCTTTGTCCCTTGGACAAGTTACTAAGCTTCATTTCTTACTCTGAGAGGAGAGGTAAAGTAGTGAGGTCACAGGACATGAGGCATGAATAAGCATGTGTGCCAGTGCCTGGTGCGGGGGAAGTGCCGCTCTCGTTCACGCATCCATCTGCCCATCAGCGCAGTGGAGCTGTCACCGTGAATGAGACAGGCGGTACCCTCCTGCAGCTCAGGTTCCTGGGCCCCACAAGGTCAAAGCAACACAGAAATTCAAACTGTATAGATTGCAGAAGGTGCTGTAGAAAGTGGTGGGATGGTTATGAAGGGGAGGGAATTTCTTTAGGATCCAGAGTTTATAGCCCATGGTCAGGGAGGCCTCTCTGCAGGCAGCTGTCCCACTGAGGCCTGGGAGCAGCGGAGCAGGCACCCTGTCGGGTCATGGAGGGTTGAGGAACCGGCCCTGACATAGGAGAAGAGCTGGCCTGGGTCAGGAACAGAAAGGAGCTTCTGCTGCTCCTCCCTCCATTTCCCTTCCTTCTGCCTTCGCCTCTTTCTGTTCCCTCTGATGACCATCCTTGTAGCATCAGAGAGGGGAGGCCTGGCTGGCGGCTTTTCCAGAGCCACCAGTGACGGTGGGGATCTGAAGAGTGTGAAGTGCTCTTGGGTGGCGAAAAGCCTGCCTCAGAGTTCGAATCCCACCCCACCCTCTCCCCCTTTTTTCATTTCCCTCCGTGAAGGGCCAGTGCTGGAAAAGGAGGGAACCCCACATGTGGCCCCATTGAACTCAGGTTCCGGGGGGGCCTGGGAGACCTGGGGACCAGCCTCCATCTCGACCTCCTTTCCCAGAACCGCTGAAACCAGGCAGAAAGAAATGTCAGATGACTTTTGTAGCCTATGTTCCTATTGTGTCTGACGCCTCCTTTCAAGGAAATGTCAGCTTTCTCCTTGGAGCTAAAATTATCCCTGAGGTACCATAAGTGAGAGAGCCGCAGGTCAGCACCCACCAGCTCTCCCGGAGCCACTCCAGCTGTGCTGCCACCTCTGCCCACTTAATTTCCGACCTCCGGGCCAAGCTTGGCCAGGCCCTGCTTGCTGTCCGTGTGTACATGCATGTGGGGGCCTGTGTGCATGTGTGTGTGCATGCACACACTTTGTTCCTTCATAGGGCTTCCTGCCTGCTTTCCTCATCCCCATGACTTCTTTTTTTTGCTTCCCCCACTCACAGTGATCCAAGTCTTCACTATTTCCTGGCTTTGTCCAGATCAGCCTGACTCTCACTCCCAAGTGAACCACTTCTCTGAGACTAGAGGGAACCTGGAGCCGCTGATTTGGCCACCTCCTCTTACCCTTCCCACAGCCCGGTGGTCCCCACTCTGCCCCCACACACCTGGCCATGTAGCTGGGAACTGAGGGCAGAGCCTACTCTCCTTTATTGTTCCCCTTCTCTAGGAGCCCCAACAGTCCATATGGGGACGTGATTGGCCTCCAGGTGGACTACTGGCTGGGCCACCCTGGGGAGCGGAGGAGGGAAGGCGACAAGAGAGATGCCAGCTCCAAGAACACCCTCAAGAGCGTCTTCCGCTCAGTGCAGGTTTCCCGCTTGCCCCATGGTGGGGAGGCCCAGCTTTCTGGCACCATGGCAATGACTGTCGTCACCAAAGAAAAGAACAAGAAAGGCAAGTGACATCTGAGGCCAGAGACCATCAGGGCCACCAGACCTACCCGTCTCCTCTCTCAGGGTCTGGGACAGAATCTGCCTCTGAGAGACCTTGGATGAGGGTGAAGCAGTGCAATTCTCACGTGGTCCATGCAGCCTGGGGTCCCCAGGGGCCCTGCCGCTTCTCTGGACAGAGGAATGGTGCCCAGGGAGTCATTGGTCCCTGTCTGCTGAGCATCAGCACCCCTGGGACCGAGGCATTTAGTGCCGCCATAAGGAAGGGAGCCTTTTGGCCACTGTCCTCAAGAATAGACTCTGTGACAGAGAGGGACACCTCCATGCCACAGCCCCAGGGTCACCATGGCCCCATGGAGCAGCACATTCACACCCCACCCTGGAGGCCACTCAAGCCTTCGTGAGCTTAAGGGCATAGTTGTTTTTTAAGAGTTAAGGGGAGCCCTGGCCCAGTGGCTCGGTTGGCTGGAGTGTCGTCCCATACATGAAAGGGTTGCGGGTTCAGTTCGTGGTCAGAGCACATACCTAGATTGCAGGTTCAGTCCCTAGCTGAGTCCTGTACCGGAGGCAATTGATTGATGTTTCTGTCTCTC